CTCTCTCTCTCTCTCTCTCTCTCTCTCTCTCTCTCTCTCTCTCTCTCTCTCTCTTTCTCTCGAGATTTTTCTCAAATATATATTGTACAGAATTTATTCGTTATATGCTCAGGAATCATTCTCATCACTGGGTGACAATCCTTTTTAATAGGATCTAATTCATAAATTTCTCCAAATGCTTGAATTTCAATCCTTTTTTCTTTCATTAGCTATTATTCTTTATACTTTTAAACATAAAATGAAGTTAAAATTTCGTATCTTTAACAGTTACACATATCCTCGTGCCATTCTTGAATTTTGAGGTTATAACGAGTAAATACTGAATTCTTTCGATTCTGTTCCCTTTGTCTTTGCAGAAACAAGAATTTTGATACACAAGTATAACACAAATGTTAAATTGATGAAACGAAATAAAAATCAGAAGAAGTTAAAAAGGAAAGCAAGCCTAATGCAGCTCGATTCCAAACTATTAAAAAACACTTTGCTTTGTCCCTTCTTGCATGTATAATACACAAAGGCAGTTTTATAAATACTCTTTGTCGATATTTGCTTTGCTTCTTCGGACATTTCATCTAATTATTTTTCCCCATTCTTCCTTTCGCAATATCATCACACACACTCGTTGCATCACGCACTACGTAGTACAGTTCGAATAAGTAAATCATACTTACATGAAAAGAGAATTCACCGTCATTCGCAAATCGTACACGCATGCGCACACATACGTCATTTATATTTCATAGTTATCTTTTGAATAGATTATATATGTATATGTGTATATATATACATATACAAACCATTCGCAAATCGGTACAATTTCGATTATAGTTAAAATATGATTGATCGCGAATTTATATACCTCAATGCCGTGATCGTCGTGACGCCTCGTCGTAAATGTCTTCAAGTAAACTCTTCCCTATTTCGTATGTTCTTTAATTTTGTTCTTGCTTTTCTTTTCTTTTCTTTTTTTCATTCCTTTTCTTTCCGCAGTTCTTCTCCGTTTTTAAGAAGTCTCATATGAATTGCTATAGGCTCCTTACAGACTCGAGAAGAAATAGAATAAGAAGAAGAAGATAAAGAAGAAGATAAAGAAGAAGCTCCACTAGGCCGAGCGAAATCAAGCGCGCACGATCTTTTCTCTTTATCATTTCTTTTTTTTTTTTTTTCGTTTTTCTTTCTTTACTAGCTAATTTGTTAACTAGCTTTTGTTTTTAATTCAGTTTACGTCAACGACTTCCTTCAGATTTTTATCATTTCTCTCGTTTAAAATTTTTATCACGTTTCTATTTCAATTTGATCGAACATAGTTCGTGTGGCGCAAATTGTTCCATTGTAAAAAGGGGAAAAAATAATATATGCTGACGTTTTTTTTTTTTTTCGTACTGGCACTAATCATCTCGAGATTATTTCTTTGACTCTTTATTTTTCTCGAATATTTTTCTTCAATATTGCAACAATATTCAAGAAGAAATGACGAATCATGACAAAATTAATTTCTGTGCGTATCATTCAGTCATGAAACAGAGAACGCAAGAATTTCCGCCTGCGCTGGCAGTGTTTGTTTCCTCTAAGTCAAAATTCGAAAAATAATCCTTGATTCAATATTTAACATCCATAAAAACATTATTTTACGAAGCCTCAATGAAGAACAATCAACAAGACTAATCTTATCTAACTTAATCTCAATTTTTCAAAACATTTGTTTACGATTCGAAAGCTATAATTATTTTTATTTTGAATTCAAATAATTTTAGCCAACTAGCATGGATACAATCGAATCAAGAATATTTTTCGACAAAAGGAAAAATTAATATGTTGATTGAAGATAGTATGAAAAATATCATCTGTGGAAGACGACGAAGAGTAATATCAAATCAACAATTGCAAAGTATTGCAGAATAATTTTTTTGTATAAAATAAATTAAATCTTAGAACGATAAGAATCATCATGCAATATTTTCTAATATTTCCTAATTATTAATCAAATTTCTAATATCAATATAAACGTAATTTAAATAAATATTTATAATATTTATAATGATTTATAATGATCTCGACCTCTTCCATCTCAAAGTAATCATCGTTAACCCTCTGCGCTCATGTAAAACGAGGCAACTAAACATTGATATAAATTTTTAACAATCCAAATTTTGGATTATAAAATTATGATTATAAATAAACAACTAGAAAGCGTTTTTTAATATTTTCACTACTCGAATTATAAATATATAATTTCTAAAACATAACAAAATATGAATCAGACTTAAAGTCATATCTTATTCTCACTAAATACATTCAACAATAATCGATACATTTTGAAAAAAATGATTTTGAAATTCACAAGAAAAACATTTAACAGATAAATATATTTCTAACAATTTTTTTTTCTTATTCTAAAATTTAATTAAAACTCTCTTGTCCAATGATTTATCAATTAATAATATTAACAAGTAAGAAATTAGGTTATAAATTTTTTCCTTACAATTTTATATTAAATAAAATAACTAGATAACTTGTAATTTATAAGATTTACTTATTAAATCTTTATTTCTTTTATTATTGTTATAAAAAATAATAATTTACAAGGTATCAAACTAACTTGTGATTTAATCACTAATTTTAATTCACATAAATAACATCAAATATCACATAATAATATAATTAAATATATATTATTATAAATAATATTACAAATCAAACT